TTCAAAAAAGAGGAAAAGCAAGAAAGAAAATGGTATGTCAAAATACAAACGAAAATGGAAGAGACTATGAAAATTTGAAAAAAGAAGTTTAAAAAACATGGAGAAAAAAGAAAAGAGAATGCATAGAAAAATAAATTCACCAAATAGAAAATACGTATGTAAAAAAACAAACGACAGAATTTTACCAACACATAAAAAGAAATAAAAATAAGTGTCAACAGAATAAAATGATCTTCTGTAAAGTAAAACAAGGCAAGTTAGAGGGAGGAATACAAGATAGTTTAAACAGATAGGCTGAGTACTTTAAAGAAGTCTTCGAAATAGAAAAAAATGCTGTACCTGAAATGTATGTTAAAAATAATTTAGAAATAAACAATCAAGATGAACCACCAACAACAGATGAAATAAAAGAAATAAGGATGTTTAAAAATAACAAGGCACCAGGAGAAAATGGGATAGCAGCGAAAATGTTGAAAATTGGAGAATATGAACTGGAAAATAACGTATACAACCTAATAAAGGCAGTATGGGAAGAGAAAAATATGCCCATGGGATGGAAAGAATCATTAATTTATCCTGTACATAAAAAAGGAGATAGCAAATTATAGGGGAATAACTTTAATGGACACTGTGTATAAAATAATGGCCATAGCAATCAAGAATAAAATAATGTCGTAGAACAGAAAATAGGACAATACCAATGTGGTTTTAGAGAAAATAGATCAGTCATCGATTAGGTATTTATATTAAAACAAATAATAGATAATAGTCTAGATCAAAACTTACCATTATATATGATTTTAATCGATTTTAAACAAGCTTATGATAAGATAAAACGAAAAAAAATATATAGGGCGATGCAAAAATTAGGAATACAGGAAATCCTCATAAGATTAGTAAAAACGACACTAACTGGAACAGATTATAAAGTGCTTGTTAATGGTCAAACATTAGACAAATTTAAAGTTGATAAAGGACTGAGACAGGGAGATCCACTATCCACGACATTATTTAACATAATTTTGGACTCTGCAGTAAGACAAAGTGGAATTCAAACAAAAGGTACAATATATAATGAGAGAAGTCAATTGATGGCCTATGCAGATGATTTGGTAATCCTAGCAAGAACAAGAGACAATTTAGAAATAACAACAAGGAAGTTGGAGAAAGCTGCAAAATAAATGGGGTTAATAATCAATGAAGTAAAAACAAAATTCATGTTAGTAGAAAAAATGCCAGAAAACATACAGAATAGAGAATTAAAAATAGACACTGAAGGATCAAAGTACAAATTTTAGAAAGTGACCAAATTTAGCTATTTAGGAGTCACAATAAGCGATAATGGTGAAGAAATAAGAAAGAATAGCCAAACAAATAAAATGTACAGGAGGAATGCTTCATCTCCTCAGATCCAAGAATTTGTCAAAAAACCTAAAGAAGAGAATCTATAAAACGATAATCAGACCAGAGAAAAAAAAAGAAAAACCTCTTTGGAAATATTCGAGAGAAAAGTACTTAGAAAGATATATGGCAGAAAGAAAGTAGATAATGAATTATATGGGAACCCTTTATAACAAATGTAGCCAGGGCACAGCGAATAAGGTGGTTAGGACATGTGGCAGGACTAGCAGATGAAAGACCAACAAAGCAAGTAATAACAGGAGGAATAACCGGGAGGAGAAGAAGGGGACGACCACGGACTAAATGGTTACAGATGGAAGAAAGAGACCTAAACGAAATGGGAATAAGAGATTGGCGTAGAAGAACAGGAAACAAAAAAGAATGGAGGAAAATAGGCTACGAAGCCATGGGCCTTCCAGGCCCGTAGAGCTGATATATATTTTTTTATTTAACTAATCAAAAATTTATTATTTAATTAAAGGGGCGGCAAATGCCCCTTTCAGTTCCAGACGCAAATAATCCTAGCTACGCCACTGGCGTCATTATCAAGTAATCCAATCGAATGATAGATAAATTCTTGATTGTTTCGGTATTTACTTGAAATCCATATTGTTAAAAAAAGAAAAACCAAAAACATTTATTTCAAAATAAAAATTACCCATGACAATTGTTTCGAAGTACAGATAGATATCTCTTTCTAAACATTATTTATCTAAGTTTATATGTATAATCCAAGGTAAAGCTACCAACAATTATTATACCTACCTACAGATTTAAATTATATCCATTTTTATAAAAGAACTTTTTTATTTTCAAAGTGCCCATACTGCACGAACCGTATCGTTTCATCCTAACCAAAAATCGCAATCGGAAAACAATAAAAGCGCAAGCATGGCCAACTCTTTTTTTGTTTTGTTTTTTTTTTTTTTGAGGGCCATCACCATAGCATTACTAAACATTAAACAAAAGCGAATCTCTCGATGCAGCGGGAGAAACCAGTTTCGGGACGATTTCTTTGTTCTTTTGTTTTTGTTGGCGCGTTTCATTTGTTTGATGAGACCTCGGATTCGCGTTGCTCGTTTGTTTTCTTTATTTTTCTTGGAGAAATGGGATGGCGCGATATCAGCTCGGGAGTGAAAAGTGGAAGTAGAGGAAGCTGACATTTTAGGATGATTGTGGAGGTCAGTCCTCCAGGAAATAATAATAAAAAAAAGTTGTATTAGTCAAGAAAATGCTTTTATGTTTAAAACTTACTGTAAACAGTTTGCCGAGTTTGTGTGAAGCATTTTATGAATATCCATAGGTATAGCGAAATTTCCTGAATTTTTAGATTTTGTAGATTTGATATAAAATAATTGTTAGGCGATCAAAAAACTATACAAAAAATGAAATAAAGTATACGAGAGCTAAACTAAATATTAGGGTAAAATATACCTAAGTCAAGAAAGGTAGGTGGAATTTGAGACTGAACAAATGATATGGGGATGGAGACAATGGGAGAATATAGTGTTCAAGGACAAATGAATTTTGCCTAAGTACCTCACAAGCTTTCTAGTTTATATTGTATAGGACGATATTTGTAATTTAAAAATATCTATTATAAAATTGGGCGAAAATATTAAGTTATTTAATCAATGTCAGGAAAACTAGAAATTAATTCAATAACCGATTTATTAACTAAATTGAAAGGTAAAATTTAGAACAATAAAAAATTAGTTAGAAATAAGTATTAAATGATTAAAAACAATGAAACGTAAATAAAATAATAGTAAAATAAAATACTTAATTAATTAATGCAGGTATGAGATGGTATACCTGAAATAAAAGAAAAACAAGTATGAGCAATCAAGTTTACCAAAAGCAGCTTTATATTAAAGAAAGTCATGAAAAGGTCATATCCATAAACAAAATACGTATTATCCTTTTAATTAACAAGAAAATTATACTGATAACTCTTTTTGACAAAATATTGATTATAAAAAAAATATAATTGACACTTTAGTTTTCCATAATTGACAAAAAGTTATGTTCTCAAATCTGTTGGCACTGACCGCAATGCCCAAACTTTTATCGATATATAAATTAAGCCATTACTAGCATACTGACCGCAATGTCAATAGCCCGCACCAACCATGGTGCGACGGCTCTGGAAAACTGACCACATTAATCCCAAAATAAACGCATACACTGACCGCAATGTACTGCGCCAGAACAGACAATCTAACTCACTTTACTTTTAATTACACCTCGTAGAGGAAAACAAAATATAAGTAAATAGTCAAATAAGTTTTAATTATTTAATATAACCCCGTTAATTTAGGATATAAGGTTTTCTTAATACTTGACAAAATATCTTTACATCAGAATTGACAAATTAACTATAAAAGGTTGATGGATAATAATAAAACTAATTGATAAAACATAATTACTCAGTGAGAAAAACTCAACCTGTTCAGCAAACAGATACTCACAAAAATTATAATTATTCACTAGTTTATTATTATTGGAACGAACTTTAATTTTGTTCCGCAAAGCAACTATCCCAAATTTAAAATTATCTGTATTTTATGCCTGCTTGATATTTGACCCTTAGTTCCCATATTCATAATCCGATACCTTCGTATCTTAATATGTTAACATAAACATAGTGTTTCGTAAAATAAAAATTATTAAATTTGTATGGAAAATAAAATCATTCTTATAATTGTTTATAACCAGCATTACATTCGCTTCAGATATATATGTAAATTGTAATAATATATCAGAACAGACGGAAAGGGTAAGCATTGACGCACTAGAAAAATATTTTTAGGATATCAAAACTACAGGATCTTTGCCGTTATTTTATATACAAGATTGAGGGTAGTTCTAAAACAGTACTTACGATTTATGATAATTATAATTCGTTTATTGGTGTGTATTATCATGCGGCAATTAAATTAATCTGAAGATCTATCTAACAATATAAACACTTCGTCAGTGAAGTGTGCTTATCCGCGGAATCATCGTAGCCCGACAATAAGAAAATTCAAATGGAGGTAATGAAGCAATTTAAAATCTTTATTTATGATGTGTAAAAATGTTAGGTATTTTATTTTGTAAGTCGTCTGTGTTTGAAACACCTCATTAAACTTTATAAAAAGTTCTTCTTTTGCACTATTGTATCGGGTAAATCTTGTTTCTAGAGTAGGTAAAGTTTGTAAATGTTTCAGACTAAGTATGTGAATGAGATTGAACTTGGCGCATGTCAGATATATTATTATCATCGCCACTGCCAGTCAGACATTTGAATTTTGGATTTATTAAATAATTTTTGTCGTCCAGTAACCAATAATGCAAGTATAGGAATCATGATCGTTTGAAACTTAAGCCAACCATTTTCGCATTGATGTATGTCTCTGTGATTGTATCTACGATTATTTCACGCACTTATCAAATAAACCAATTAGGAGTTCTAGTCAAGTTCGGATTATCGATAATACCAAACTTGACTCTTGATCCTGATTGGCCTGTCAAATTCGGTGTTTTCAGATTGTTTATGTGACAGTTAAATGTGAAATATAAATAATTCCGCCGTACCCGCATTTAAAAATGAGCAGATTTGGGATAAATTCCATCGAATTAATCAATGGAAAAATTGATTAATTTTTCCATTGGAAGCAATTTACTAGTTTTTGCGATGAACGAGAATACGTATTAGAAGAAGCAACGCCTGTTGAGAGACTAGCTCTTATATTAAAGGACTGGGGCTTCAACATGAGAAAAATTGATGGTTCTGATTACAAGGAATGTGTCGTAAAGACGATCTGGAATACGAGTGCTAAATTATTGCAAGAAAAATATTATAATAAATATTCACGGAGTTTCGACCCACTCAAAGATATAATTTTTCAATCGGCAAGAAATGCACGAGATACAAAACGTAAGTTGCTTCAAGGTAACGCACATAAACGAAAAATCAGTTCGGTACCGTTGACCTATGAACATCAAGCGATATGTACACAATGGGATGAAGATACACCCACAGGACTCCAAAAGAAATTTTTCCAAATCGCAGCGGTAGAGCTTTCTTGGAGAGGAAGTGAAGCTGCAAATTGTTTGTTAGAATCGAATATAATACAGTTTTTTTAAAAACTTGCCAAGGAGGTGGTCAGCGATGTGCGAACAGCAAATGGATGATTAAAAATGTGCAAAATCCAGTAATGTGCCCCGTGAGACTGTATAAAAAGTTAATTTCGAAACGAGGTAATAATGTAAAATCTAATAGGTTGTTTCTTACTGTGAATGGACACTGGAAGTCCTATGATCACTGCACTCCTTGGTAGAAAAATATGCCTATAGGGATTAATACGATCAGTAAATGGACCCAAACATCACCTCAGAATATATGTAAAAAGCAAAAAATAACCAACCTCTCAAATCGAGCAAGCAGTCAGTGTACTTTTATGCAGAGGAGTAGGTGAATAGGAAGCCATCAAAATCACAGGACATTCGAGCTCTAATTCACTAAAACCTTATCCTCAGCATCACGAAAGACTTAGCAAATGTGAGAAATAATAGCCATCAAGATATAACAACTTTTACAAGTACAAGAGAGTGTTCAAATTGTCAAGCTCAAAGCATTGTATATAATAACTGTACCATTTATAAGTACGTTATGTTAATACTGGTTTATTTAAATATGTATGTTCGATGTCAATGTTTCCTGTTTTATTAAACTATTTCTCTAATCAACTTTTTTGCTAATTTCCTCTCGGATTTTTTACCGTTCACTTTGTTTGTGAAATAGTCTAATAAAATTCCACTCGTGATTGAATTTATCTTATAATTCTGTCTTTTATTTCACAACTCAACTGAGTTGCTTGAAGAAAACACTACTCGTCCTACGGACTCGTGGTGTTTTCAAGCAACTCAGTTTCGTTATAAAATAAATCGACAGAATTATCGCGCTAATTCAATCACTTGTGATATTACTACTGATAATTCAAAAACGAATACAGAAAAAGACCAAATTTGAAACTTAAGCAAGCTTTAAGCAATTTATCCTGTAATGAGTTAATTAGATTTTTGGTATAGTCGGAATATCTAAACACCTGTTATTTGTGAGTGAGAAGAAAATACTTCGAATGACAGTAGGTTTGTATTCTTTTAAACCCATGTCTAAAAGCAGCTTCGCAATAATTACAGTACACCAGTCCTTTATTTTCACTAAAAAATTGTAATAACTCACTTTCTCGCGTTCTGTATGTTGTAATTGTTACTGTTGGTGCCAATAAATTTTTTTCTTTTAATTTTGAGGCTAACAGTTCTGATCCTTGTTTTAATAAATTGAGATTACGTAATTAAACACTGAGTTCATTTTGAGAAAATAACTTTGGCGTAGATGTTTCATCCTCCCATTCACTTCCACTGGTAGACTGTCCCGATTTTTGTGAATTTGGCAACATCATTTTTTCTGAGGGCATGCGAACTACTTTTGAACTGTAAATAGGCCGAGAGAGATTTTCACTGTGTAGAACAGGACATTTTGTAGACTGTAAGTCTGGATGGAGCCATCCAGATTTCGATTGAAACCTTGAGCATCTACTACGCAAAAGTAACAATCATCGAAATGATTCTTAGGCTCCATCCAGATCATAGGAATACCAAAGTCTAATCCAGAACGTTCTCCTTTTTTCCACAACCGTTAAGACTCAACACAGGACTTACAAATTTTATGAGGAACCCATGATTTATCTAGTTTGTCCAATTTAAAACCGAAATATTTAGCTTAAGTCTCCTTGACAAAGTCTGTGATATTTCGTTTTTGTTTTTTTGTTATATAAACACCGCAAATATATCAAAATTAATCACTACTATATTTACACTTTCTTCGTGACGAACTCATGTTTTAAACGACAAGAACAATATATTAGAGTGGACATTCAGTAATTGAAACAAAATATTAACACATGACAACTTATCCAGATTTACGTGAAAGTACCTCAATATTATCGAATAACTGAGATAGTATCTCAGCTGTCCTGCAAAGCAAGGGGTCTGGGAGTGGGATCACGTGATGTTTGTATGCGCGAAAAAGTTGCGTAGAAGCCTAATCATGACTGAGAAAATAAGTTTTATTACTAACATGCCGATAATTGTTCAAAATATAAGATAATATGTAAAAATCATAAAAAACAAGAGCACATTCAATACTTTCATGAATATATTCGTAATTTGGGCAATTGAAAACATAAAAATTTGCAAAGATATCCAGGGCAACAAAAAAATTTTTTTTTGTAGAGCTGTGTAATTTTCACTGGAAAGTGTTGGATACATTAGATATTTTTTACCTAGGTGATTCTATTGAGTGTAGACGTGTAGATTTTATATTTTATTTTCAGGAAAATTTTATATACTTGATCAATTTATACCCTCAAAGTCACTTTTTGCATTAACTTTTAATCTTCTAATTTGGACCCTATCACTATCATGAATTGTATTTTAATACATTATAGAGAACTGACCTCTTAACGAGAAGTTAAGGATTCTCCACATCTCTCGTGCTCGTTTGGCCATATACTAAACCACTTATAAACCACTCTAGTCTTAAGAGAACGAGCAGGCTCACCGTAATGTTTTCGTTGTTGTTTTATCTACCAAATTAACGTTTAATCAAGTTATCGGTCACTTAGATGTTAGAATCATCATATAAATATCTACTGTGATAATTAAAATTATATTTATGAAACAGGTACAATCGATAATTGCTGCAGTTCTGTAAAGCATTATTTTGGGCCTTTTGCTGCTTTTATTTTATGCAGGTGCTTAGCTCCACAAATAGGCTCACAATAATGAAACATCTAAAATTCTCAAATGTTGTTGGTGTTCTTGAAGAAATAATTAAACTTTAAATCATTACTACACAATTTTATTAAATTAACTAACAAACGATTAGTTTCGACTTTAATTCATCTTCAGGCCTTTAACCCTTTCAGCCCCAGTGGACGTACGACGTACGTCAATAAGCTATACTTTTGGACGTACGACGTACGTCAAGTAAAAATTAATCGAGAAGACAATGTCTGTTTATTGATTACACACAAAAAAATTATCAGTGCTTTCTTGATGACTTGATAAAATACGTTTACTAAATAAATCGTTTAACACTAACGTTTATTTAACATTCTTAGCTTATGCCAATAACCGTATAGGTACATCTCAAAGAGCTTGGTAAAACTGCCTATAATTATGTTTATAAAAGTTTGATTTATAATGCAAACTTTAATTTTCTTGACAAAAAAACGACGCCACCACAAAAAAAGATTATTATGATCTTTTGTTTTCGGTTACTATTTAGTATCTAAAATGAACTCGAGTGATTCAGATTCCGATTTTCTGTTAGAAAATATCACTTCAAGTAGTGAATGTGAAAGTTTTAATGATAGTGATGACAGAGAAAATATGTCAGACTATAGTAACGCGTTATCTACAAACAATAATCCGGCTGGGTGCATAGGTGATTCGATTAAAGATAGACTTCCTAATCAAGTTCCAGAAGTTCTTGGCATTCCTTGTCCAAACACAGAGGTTTTTCCACATGAAGACGTATCGTTTACAAGGTCTGCAGTTATGTTTTTATCTGAACAAACATTTAATTTTATTGTGCGATGCACAAATTTAAGAGGCGAATTATATTTTAATATTAAGCCGCAGCTAAATTATAAAATTCACAAACTACAATGGCATAATGTAACACTACAAGAGATGAAAAATGTTTTTGGTTATTTACTAAATATGGGACTTGATAAGAAGTCACAGTTATCAATGTATGGGAGTACAGGTCCTAATATCAACATATTATCATAATAAGAAATCGATTTCTATCTATTTTAAAATTTCCTAGTTTCGCTGACCCAAATGCTTTAGTACCAAATGATAGATTATGTCTTATCAGGCCATTCTTAAACAATTTGCAATAAACATTTTAAAATAATTATCAATCTAATAAAAAAGTCGTAGTAAACTATTCGCTGATGTTGTTCAAAGGACGGTTACATTTCCGACAATACATCAAGTCAAAGCATACTAGATTTGGTATCAGAATTTTTACTCTCTGTACTTCTGACGGGTATATGTACAGCTTTGAAATTTATATGGGACTAGGACAACAACAGTTTGCCCTTCAGGATGCCAGTGCCTCAGATCTGTCATTATCAGAAATAATAGTAGTACATCTTGGTCGAAATTTACTAGACTTAGGCTATTCTTTCTATATAGATTATTGGTATAGTAGTATAGGGCTCGCCGAGTACTTGCTACACAGGGAAACCATTTTTACTGGTACGATTTGTCCAAATAGAGATATAAGACTCTCCATTGAATAGACATCAAACAGCATGTATCACAAAAGAAAATATTTTGGTATTGAAATATTTTGACAAAAGGGACGTTTATTTAATTTCAATAAAGTACACTATTGAATTGACCGAGGGAGTCAGATTTGTTAATTTTTGGTTTATGCTGATTTGGTTTTATATTTAAAAAAAAATCCAATTTTTTTCTTACTTAGTTAAAATATTTGTTCAAAATAGATTTATGAAAAAATGTATTGTTTAAATTTTCAGCGTAAACCTTTCCAATATGATACTTTTGCTAGTTATCTCAGTGTATATTCATTCGACGTACGTCGCACGTTCAATGGTATACAGTATGCAGACGTACACCGTACGTTCGCTGGTAATGAGCGAATCCAACTTGCTGGGATTATTTACAGCATCTAAAAATAGTGGCTGGTGCTGAAAGGGTTAATATAATAAATTCCTTGATAAGCAAGAATAATGAAACAAAGATGTTTGAGCTTTAATTTACTGATATTATTGGAACACAGCCAGATATGAGTTATTGCAGTTTGTGTGTTGCTATTGATGAGACATATTGATAAGAAAAGAGAAGCTGATCTACCAAACCAGATATAACAAATTGATCTTAGACAGATAACCGTCGATAATAGGACAATTTTGTATAATCGATAGGTAGAGAAAAGATGAAAAGTGATGAGTAAAAAGATATAATTGAGGTAATTAAAAGAGAGTTAAAGTAACCCCGATGATGGGGAGAATCGTCGAGACTATGGGGATATACACTATTCCCTTGAATCATATGGAAAATACGATAAAGCGTGAAATGCGTAG